GATGTGTGCTCTCAGAAAACCGTATATCAGAAGTTTAAACTCATGTGCGATAAACATGATAATCAGAACAAAAACAGATGTTTTTAGCAGGTCAGAGCTGTAATGGCGCAGCTCTATTCTGGAAAAGGGGGCGGGGACTCCGGCGAGCAGCAGCTCATTTGCATTTAAAGAGGCAGGGACGAAAAACATTGTGTTTCTGCTTCCACTCAAAATAGGCATTTTCAAAATGATATAATAAATGATCTGTGGAGTATTTTGAGCTGAAATTTCACAGACACATTCTGGGGACACCAGAGACTTATATTACATATTGTAGAAAGGGGCATAATATGTCTCCTTTAAAACATAACACAAAAACACAATAAAATATATTTTTTTAACTTACAATCCATTGTTCTCACTTACATATATGAAATACGCCTTTAAAAAGTTAAGTTTCATGTATAAATCACATTGAATTTCTCTGTATGAATGACAAGCTTAAACGAGAACGATTCAGACTGAATTTAACCATTTTGACTTTCTGAAATAGACTTATAAAAAAATTAAAATCACAATAATTCATTATCATTTGATTCTTAGGATTTTATATCTCAGATAAAATATCAGTCAGCATCTTTCAAAGCTAGACTTACCTGAAGTGACATAAAGCAAATATAATTTATCTTTTTTCAAAATAACTTTCCTATCATATTAAATATTATGACATTATGAGGTATTTAATATGTAAAACCATGGTACAGCGACGGTAATACCTATAATCCACGATCACAATGATTTATCACGGTATTTACATGTTTCTCCAGGGAACTTATATAATGGTGTTATATAATAATATAATGTAATATAATATAATAATATAATGGTGTTTATCACGGTACACAAACATGAAACTTCTTTGTTAGTGCGGTGTAAACGATTAGACTCGCTCAGTCACTAATTCTACAGTAGATTAAGATCATCCGACTATTATTATGATGACAAATCAATGTGAATGAATTAATAATACACAGTTACATATATATTTTCATTCCAGGCCTGAGCGAGAGAACAATATTCATCATCTCGTGACCGCACAAACTCACAACTCAACATTAAACACTCATGTTTATACTCACATGTGTAGAATAAAGCGGTGATTAGAAGTTTAACGCAGTTTATTGATATTAAATCTTCCATCTTCCTCATTTACAGATCAGCAGAATCAAGCTGAGGCAGATTTCTTGTTTTCTTCCGGTTCCGGATCCCTCTTTCGGCGTGTGAGACTCGCTGCTGCCGCCGCTCCACAGCGACACCCGCAGGCGGCGCTGCGCTATTACAGCACGTGTGTGTCGCTAGTTACATGTAACGGGATTACGTAATTTAATTACAAAATAAATGTAACTGTAATCTGTTACAGGCACTGAGAAAAATGTGTAATTAAATTACAGCTACTTATGAAAATGTTACTGATTACAAAGAATGAATATTTTCACACACATACAGATTTGATTTGATATATTTCCTAAATTGCATTGACTGCTCTAAACTATGAGACACCAATGTTTCAGGAGTTTAGGATAAAGAATATGACACATGCTTATTTGATACCTGTTTTATTATTTTCTATATGGGTTTATGTATATGCTTTATTTTTTAAGATTAACTGTTTTTTTTTCCAAAGCATTGTTAGATGCCAGTGTTTGGTGTCATAGCTATGCAAAGATAACACAGTTATTAAACTATTTCTTATGTTTTTTAATCAGTATTTAACCTCAGAACGATATCAAAGTAAAAAGAGCTGCTAAAGTCTGATTTTGTGGCAGCTGTGCCTTAAAATTAAATCATTATAATCTGAATTTAAGTGATGAAGAAAGTCTGATAGTAATTAGTGTTGAATACTGTAATGTTAACCCTGCCTGCTTTAAATGTTTCAAAATGATTATCAGTTGAAAACATTCTTTTGAAATTTAGAATCAAATTTAGAATCAAATGTAATCAGTTACATTACTTTAATAAAGTACTTGAAATCGTTACATTACGTTTTTTTTTTTAAACTAACCACTCACTTTAAATTTTTATAAAGTCACATGTACTTTTTTATTCAGTTCTAATTTCCTTTTTGCAACAAACGCAAGCAATGCTTTCCTTTGAGACACAATCTAAAAAAACAAACATTTATAGTCTTATTTTACAGTGCATTGTCTACTCTTACACATATGATATATGCCTTTAAACACTGCATTGTCATTTATAAATTTCCTTTTTTTTCCCTTTTTGTTTTTGAGTTTGAGTTCAAAATTCATATATCACCAACAAGCTTAACTAATCAATTTTTTCATGATTTTAATTTTGATTAATAAAATTTTAACTACGAAAAAGAATTCAGAAAAAAAATTAAATGGAAAAGATGGAATCCAGAATAATTAAAACAGAAAAAAATGGAATTTGGGAAAAAAAAAAAAAAAAAGAAAAAAAAAAAAAAAAACAAGAACCTGGAAACCAAAGTGTATTTTTAAAAATTAATTCCATAAGGTTTTAATTGTGTATTAATCCATGGATTAATTATGTAATATACGCTAATATGCCACATTACACAATACAGTCCAGAGACACGATACACATGCCTTGACTTTATTTAGAGGAATACAGGTGGATACAATCACTATAAACTAACAGTGTAACGATACACTCATGCCACGATTCGATACATATCACGATACTGAACTCACAATACAATATTACTGCGATACTCCAAGGTTAACAGAAAATGTACTGCTGATTAAAATGCTAAATTTGGTACTACATCGGGGGTGGGAATAAATAGGCTTGGACTCAATGCACAGGACAACGGTAACACCAGAATTAAAATATTCATGATTCTGAAGCTGAAAATACAGAATTATTATTTGAGACGCACTCTGTCACTGACTAGATATATTTAAAATAACGTAGGCCACTTTTTACTCCTAACATGAGACGTTTTGCATTACCAGGACCCACAAATATTCCCCCCCCCCACTGCATTATTATACATTATCCCCCGGTTTCACACACAAGGCTTAAGCCTAGGGCTGGGCGATATGGCCAAAAAAATTATCATGATAATTTTTTTCATATCAGTCGATATCGATAATTATCACGATAAATGTCAAATCTTTATTTCTTTCAAGTTTAAAGCTAGATTTTTGCTCCAAAGTGAAAGCTGTAGAAACCAGACCATTAATTTTCCTTAAAAAAAAAAAAAAATATCTAAATAGAAAAATTCATTTCTTAGTTTCTGCATGTTCTACTGAGTGATATTGTTTCAAATCAAGAAACAACTTTGGGTTGCCTGATAATATTAATAATAATAATATCACTTTTTTTGTCTATTAGAAATGCACATTTGATAGTATCTTGAGTTAGGATACAGAGCTACATTTTTGTGCATTATCAAAATCAGTAACATCTGTAGAAATTGTAGCAACCTCAGTTTTAAATGGTTACATTTATTCTTACCAAGTGTAAGAATAAATTAATTTGTAACATACATTTAAATCATGATAAACACAGTTAAAACCACACATATAGCACCCCAATACCATGGTAAAAATGTAAGTATGAAAAACAGTAGCCTTCTGACTGTCTCGTTTGTTGCACACAGTGTGTCTCCTGTTTGGCTTCAAACTAGTTTAAATCACCGAGTCATTTGTGTTCCTCGCTGAGTTCAAGCGCTTCACACTGGATCTCACAGC